TCACCGTAACTCGTCCAACAACCCGGGGTCCCCTCTTAGCTAGGTTCCCTGTGTGACCTCAGCGCCCTGCCAGAGTGGGGTTCTTGGAGAAGTCGATCACTTCTCTAGATTTGATCCACTCCCATGAGCTGCGGATTCAGCAAGGAAAGCTCAGCGTCATCCCACTGCGCTGGCGCACCGTCAAACAGGCTAGCTAAGTTCATACCCGGCTGCAGGTGAAAGTGCCATCCAACCTGTCTGCCTTTGCATTCCTATACCACATCAAGTTACAAGTTTAAGCGGGCCGGAATCTGAGTGCACTGTTTTGCTTAAGCTAGGGCAATCTCGTGGTACCCCAACCCCTTGAAGCTCGAAGATCATCGACTCCAAACGTGCAGCAGACGCCCAGGCCATAGCCAGCTTCGGGCCTCGGCTTTGTCGGATCAGGGCAAAGACAACCTGAGCAAAATGGGCGCTGGCCCTCCGTCTTTTTGTCTTGTGAAGAAACCGAGAAGGACAGAGAGCCAGAGAGCCAGAGTCAGCTAGAGATAAGAACCCAATGAATGTGTGCTCAAAGAGCAGACAGAACTTCGGGGTGTTGATGCAGCACCGTGCCTTTTTCTATCTTGCTCTGCGAGCGATATGCCTGTGCCGCAGATCGTTCGCAGCGGCAGTTCCCATAGTGAGCCGATTCTCGGATGCTTTTGTCTTAGCCAAACATTGGCCCTCTAAGGAACCGCGACATCCTATCTACCGCATTGCACAGGTTCCGGAAGTGGCACCCGTATCCAAAGGCAAATGTGTCCGGGCCGATGCTCGGAAGGGGCTGTTACCACTCGAAGGGACTAGTTGACGGGTTCTGCTGTCGTAAAGCTCCCAGCCAAGTGGGAACAAGTTCTACAGTTTGCTAGCTCACAGTCAAACAGCTGTATCAAGAATTCCGAGATCTGCGATCTGGAGAAGTGTTGGGGCACAGCGCGCGGAATCATTACGGCTGAACTGCATTAGGTAAAACCCGTTCGTCGAACCTTCCGACTCTTGTGTGTGCAGTAGCCTACAAAATCTGCGTAATAATCTCTACTATTCATGGAAAGGTACGTGTGTGAAGACTCGGCACGGAAGTCAGGAGCTTGCACTCCTCTTCCCGTTTGCGAACAACTCTTGAGTGTGGGAAGGGACACCTTGCCAAAGCCAACAGAAAGCTGACAGCGCCAGGACTATTGACCAAGAGGCACTGGCCGGATCTACTGACAAGGCTTCGTTTTCTTCGATGACCCCTTTGATCTGCTTGTGTCACAGGTTGCACTCATCAGACATCAGGTATTGCCAAACACTTCGGTCTTCACCCAACTCAGCGGTGTTGACCGTATCGAATTGCATCACGGAAGATCTGGTAGCTTCACTCAGTCTTCCATCATTTGGTTCTCAAACAAAAAGTTGGCGGCGAGCTCCTGCAGTGTTACAGTACCACCCCTGCAGTGTCACAGTACTGATTAAATGACTAATCAAAGGGAGACCACTGAAAAATCCAGCGGGCAAGCACTCGTCAGGGCAGACAGAACCCGCATTCGCAATTCAACAGTCAGCATCTGTGAGAGCGTCCTCGTTTTTGTCGCATGCCTTAGCATGAGCGCTGGAGACGGACTCGGCTGACATTCCAGCGACCTCCGATGGCCTGTGAGCTAATTACCTATCCCCCAGAAAGCAGAAACAATCTGTTTCACCCCAGCTAGGGCGCAGGCAAGGTATGCCTGCACTGCCATCCCTCTGTCGAAGCCAAGCTCAGTCAACCTGCATCAGCATGCTTTAACACGAGTTTCTAGGAATTGGAGTTGAAGTTCTGGCGCTGCTGCATATCTTGGACCGCCCAGTCCGGGACCATCGAAGCGGTGCACACGGGGCCCAACATCGCGGCCTTCGAACTGCTTCGCCCTCTTCCGGAGTCAGTCGCACAACCTTGGCAATGTGCAGGAATGTGCGGCAACGGCCGGTGGGCAAACGTGGCAGTTGAGATATGTCTGCTGAGACTTGCACTGTCACAGAGATGCTTCATGATTGTTTGTCTGCTGATCATGCCTTACCGGACTCTAGCACGCGAGCCAATCCCTCTCCAATCCTGAAAAATGTCCTGCACCAGCTCCTGGTGCCCCAATCACTCCAATCCCTTGGCGCCTGCTGGCCGGCTCCCGGAGCCCCACCCCCTGCGCCACCCTGGGCTGGGAAACAGCTCCGTTGGATTCACGTGAATCGAACTTTAAACTTGAGACCAGACACAAGCCAAAAACGATGCCATTGAATTCAGTGATACGCCTTTCCGTTCTGCTGTGTTTGTCCGTGCTGAAGTTTGAGGGATGGCATGAATGCGAGGCCCTTTCTTTCTTTCGTCCGGGCTATGGTGTAGAGGGAAGCCCCCCTACACCGCGCGCCAGTGCGCCCCCGGAAAATTGCGGGTGCCAGAAGGTTGCAGGCGTACTCCACAAAGGCAATAGTCTGCCTTTAAAAGACGTAAACTGCCCTCGGCAAGGAGGCGAGTATCAGGTGTTTTCGAAAGGCGTGAAAAACAAGATGAGCGACAGGGCAAAAATCACTGGGGATACTGGCCTCGACCCCCATGGTGCTTTGAATTAGGACTTGGACATGGGCTCTCACATGAAAGGCAGCAAGCTGAAGTAGTACTTTTGTACATAACTAAGGCAGGCTGTACTCGACCAAAGGCGTTTCATGTCTTAGCGTTCCTTGCTATTCGGCCCGGTCGTAGACGCACTGTGTGGCGACGGTGTGCGGCAGTCGGCCTAGCAGCCACAACTTGCGGACCCCCTGCCATTCCAGCGTGTAGCCTTCCCCGGCCTCATGAACGCGTAGGATCTTGGATCTTGCCGCTGGCCGAGATCCACATGAGCCAGCGTTCAGGCTTGCCATTGCGCACATACCCCCAGGGGAGCTGGACAAAGGCAACATTCACGCCCAGGTGCCCCGTAGGGGTGCGGCCGCCTTCTCTTCTTTCTTCTCTCTCGCGCTTCATCCGAGCCGATAGCCAGCGTGACTCCGGCCCAGGCCCAGGCGCCATACTCGAGTGCTCTCATATGTACGAGTGGACGTTCGCGTCACAAACTTGCAGTGTCACAGGGGAAATGTGCGTACACCCCATAGGAGACAGGGAGCTCCGATAATGAAGACATGACAATCGTATACTCGCAATGACACGTGCAAGAGGATGACGGCTTCACCTCTCTCTCTCTCTCCCTCCCTCTGCAGCTCTCTAATGGACAGTCCTTGCCCACAGGCCTTTCCACCTGCATTCGCAATCCTTCTCCGACTGCAGCCCATAGAACCCCCGAAGTCCTGAAGTTCTAACCAGCTATTCTTCCTCCAGCTCTGACTAACTCGAGTCTCTGGCCTGTGCTGCTGCAAGCATGGCCGCGACGGGATCTTGCTCACCTCCCGCCGGGGCGGCTCCGCCCTGCGTCCAAAACATGAGGGAGCTCATGGGTCTCTGTGAAGCTTGGAGGTTTTTCTTTAGGGGTTTAGGGAGTTCAAGAGTTGTGAAGGGGCCGACTGCTAGCTTCTCCAAAGTTCTTCGGGCGGTGCATTCCCCTGCAAAGTTGCTGCTGTGATAAACAAGATAGGGCTCTTGATTCACTCTTGGTGGGAATCCTCTTCAACTGGATTCTGAACAAGCCTTTCCCAATGCTGTTAAGACCGGTCTTGATAATGTGGTTTAACAGTGCGTGAGATGTCACTGTAGAATACCCCGGACAGATTGTGCTGCTCTCCCATCAAAAGGTCACTCCATGCAACTGCAAGGAAACATACTGAAACAAGTGATATCAAAATCTTAGGACACACTATTGACAAAACCGCTCCATGTTCCTGCCACAGTGTTCCAACCAACACAAGGTCTGCACAGACTCTGCCGATGCTCTTGCAGCCGCAAAGCCGCAAAGCCACGCTGCAAAAGGTCAGAAAGCCAAGCCAAGGCACCATTAAAATATGTGTGTCTAGTATTGGATTCTTGGCAGATGCTGGGTTGTCTACCTGGTCCGGTACGAATGGCAAAACGGCTTCAACTCCTGATCTGAATGACGGAGTGTAAGGTTCTGCCTGAAACTAATAACTTGCACTGAGAATTGGCAAGACGACGTCATCTCCAGCCTCTTGCTGATAAGTACGGGCCACAGTTTTGCAAGCATGTTGCCGAACACATGGGGCAGGAATCTGCGACGTAGCAAAGGATGGCTTTCTTGTGCATGGCAACTACCTGAATCGGTGCATTGCGGCCTGCAGAAGTCGCATGAACTCTTGCGGATTCGCCCGAATGGCTTGCACCAACTCCGGATCTCAGCCAACAAGGAATGCTGCGCTTCTCGTTTCTGCTTCTGCGTAAATTTGGCTCGGCCCCTCTTGCTTCCGCTCTTCTTGTACGGCTTGGGCAAAACACAGCAAACCTTCTTCCTCCACAGGCTTCTCAGCCTGTCGCCCTTTGCGGCTGAGGTCTTGGCTGCTCTGTTGAAGCGCCATGATGATCTGCGGGAGCACCTTCCACAAGGATCTTCAGGGACTGTTGAAGTTTGAAGCTGGGGGATACACCAGTATATGACCACGAATAGATATCCGTCCAAGGCTTGTAGCAGGACCACTGTACCATGCACAGGCAGCGTTTTCTGCCACTATAGAGCATTAGTCAGCCAATAGCAATTGTCCGTGCAAAACACGTTAAACTACACCCTCCTCGCCAAATAGTGGCTGAATTCTGAGACGTCGATGCATGCACTGAAGCTACAATCGCACATTGCACCAAATAGGCCGTAAGCGAAACGGCTGTTCACCTAATCAACTAGTTCAGGTGTTGTAGCAGGACCACTGTAACTGTACCATGTGCACGCAATCTTTTATCCCACTACAGAGCACAAATCAGCCAATAGCGACAATCCGTGCAAAACGCATCCAAAGTACGTGCATAAGCTAACGCTTTGCGTTCCAAAGTGCGTGCATAAGCTACCGCTTTGCGTTTGAGCTGGGCTCTAGACATTCGGATCAGCAGCCACCGCAGCCGCCAACTCGGGAAGGCCTAGAAGCTGCTGGAAGATAGCAGCACCAAGCACGCACGGACAACAGACTGAGCCCACGACGCGGGTGGTTTCTCAGCTCCTCCAATGCTGCTAAATTTCCTCCGCCGCCGCCTCCGCCTCCACCTGATAAGGGCGGATTTTTGTCGGTCTCTCCCAAATCGCTTCCGGTCCTCCACGACCGGCTCCAGGTGGTGGCATGGCCGGAAAGGCCCCTGTCATGGCCGGAGCCGGGCCCCCGCCCGTAGCCGGAGCTGGAGCCTCGCCTTTTGCGAGGTGGGCTCAGACGCGCTTAGAAATCACTGCCTTCTTAGGAACTGAGGTGAGTCCCATGTGAGGCAGTACTACAAGTAAGAGGGCATCTCCGTCATGTTCTTGATCAGGATAGATAGTTCGATGGCCCCAACCAACTGAAAAATCCGCACTGCAAACGACGGCGGGCCCCGAAGTATTACAGCAGCACAAAGCCCCCTAAGACAACTAAAGTTCCAACAGTCCAGAAGCTCCGCGGCAAGTGCAAACCGTGGGCGTCAAAACGCTGATCCGCCACACCTCCCGGAGTGGTCGGTGCTGGCTCGCCGCCCTCCGCTTCGGGTGCCTTGGATCACCGTGGTCATTTCATGGCTCAGAGTTCTTTGAACACGGGAGCCATGGCGGAAGAGTAGGGACAGAGAACTTGCAATGGCTCCTGAATGGTTGACTACTGTGTTGTGTTGACTTCAAGGAGTGTGTGCGTGCCGGAAGGAACTGTGGGGTGAGCGAGTGGGTGCCTGCACCATGTGAAGGAGAAAGTGACAAGTTGATGGTCTGGGTAGAGCCAACGAGTCAACGAGTGAAAAGACCAGGGAGTGCGTGAGAGAACAGCACGTGAGCGGGCTCCGAGGAGCGCGTGGACTGAGACAATAAGATAACTTCAACTGTGGCAGGACCAGCTTGCAAATGGGACAACTACACGTGCTGGCATATGTCGACAATTTGATGGTTAGCAAAACAGGATCCTAAGAAATCTCACCGAGAAATCCTTGGCTCTGCAAATACCCCCTTCCAACAAGTCCATACGAGCTGCTTTCAGTCACAGAGTCCTCCCAAGCTAGAGTGAACTTGGTTGAGCAAGTGATCTTGCTCGACACATGTCTATGGCGACGTCCGGTAGACGAAAACGGCTGACATTCATACACAAACCTGCACTGCGCACCTCTTCGCATGAATACGCATGTACAACGTCTATCTATGTGTATGTACATGTGTGTATATGCACATGTGTAATACATACTCACATGCCTGCACACATACATTAGAGTACTGAACACACTCGTGACTCGTGCATGCATTCGTGCAACCTGCGTCCTGCTGCCTCCTGTTTTCCCCGCTGACAAATCGGGACCCCGACCAAGGCCCGCCTCCGCTAGCTCTTCGGGTTGTCAGGGCAGAAAAGCAACCGAGGACAGGACTGCCATGCCGACCCCAGCAGGAATTCCACTCCTGTCACGGTGAAGGGAGTTGGAACGCTTCTCGACAACTCTCGAGCGCTCTGACCGAACTCCAGAAACCTGCGAATCGCCTCCCTACCACTGCCTCTGGTACAGTCAAAGCTGGGCCGCCGACATCAAATACTCAACAGCCCGGTCAGGATTTCCGAAAGCTGCCTGCACTGAAAGCTGTTCCATTCAGGGCAAGCAAAGCTAAGCAGGGCCTGGGGGCTCAAGCTTCCAAGTCGAAGATGCAGCATTCAGCGAAAAATCAACGAGGAAACTCCAGAGACCGTCTTTCGCCTGCAAACATCGCTCAACCTGCGGTCTGTCGAAGCCCATCTCCATCAGCTGCTGGACGGTCCTGGCCAGGGTGGGTCGTGTGCTTAAGAAAGCCCACAAAAAGAAGTGGCGATGACACCACGGGTCGACATCCCACTTCCCCTTCTGAGGAAGCTCTCCAAGTTCTGCACCGCACACATGCGACCGAATTCTATTCAAGGGGGCTTGTGAACATGCAGCTGCATGAACCTGAGCAGTCACCCACAATCAACCTCTATGCAATCCTGCATCTGTGCCGACGAATCCAACAAGTGTGCGGCGTTTATACGGTATACATGCTGACTTTGTGAAAGGGCCGCTGAGTACCTGAGTACCGGAACGGAACGTGCTGCTGGGAAGAGTTGACTACTTTCGAGATGCACGTCCTTCGGGAGCCGGGGGAACTACTGGACCGGGCCGCGTCGGAGCTTGCTGCAGTGTGCTACATCGTGCTCTATTTGAGTCTTCTCGCGTGCATCCGCTCCCTTTACCGCATGTCGTATTGCACTGTGACATTGGGGCTGTGGCAGCGTTCGCACGTCCTCGCGATGCTGGGGCTCCCACGACTCCGCTGCTGTGCCGCCAACAACTGTCGCAGCTGCTGCCTCGGGTGTTTCGGGGTTCGGAGCTGAGAAACTTGGACTTGTGAAATTCTCGTTTGCCTGGAGCATTCGGCCCTCAGCTCTTGGATTAGGGAGCGCCGAGCACGCATCGCAGGTCCGCAGACATGAAGAGTAAGTCCGCAAGATGGGCATGCCAAGTGCACTCGCAGCCTGTAAACGCGAATATCAGGATTCAATTAGGCTGCTCTCTTCGAGGAGGTAGCATGTTGCACAGGTGGTGCTCTATGAAGCTTCTGGAAGTCTCGCTATGGGCCCGGCAACAACATGTGAACCTCGCGAGTTGGCCCTCCACATCAGAGAGTTGAGGTCGTAACGGCTCCGGCATCCACCGCCGCTGGTGCAGCTGGGGCACCTAAGCTTCTCCACAAATTTCCGGGCCTGTTCAGCACCTCGTACCGCGAGCATGGGAATCATAGCTGTTCGGCTTGCTCCGAAGTGAACTCCAAAGCCTGGAAAACCGAAACCCGTGAGTCCTCTCACAGCCGGCTTGCTCGCCGGCGCTGGCGTCGGTGCAGGCGCAGCTGCAGGTGCCGGAGCCGGAGTCGGGGGAGGCTTTGCCTGCATGTTGAGGTCGAGGTCGGGCTGAGATGCAGTACAAGACTTGGCACCTCACTTTAGAGGCTGGGGCTTTGGCCGAGATGGGGATGGTCAAGCGAGGGGAACGTTGCGGAATGTCAGATTAGCATAGCAATGCCCCCCCTGCAATGCCCCCTTGTCTATACAGGGCTACCAGTACACATTAGCGGACCAACGCAGAACTTACTCTTGACGCCCCCTTCCAATCAAGAGGCGGAGATCCCCAATACCAAAGTCTTCTGGCGCTTCACCTTGCAAACAAGCCTGCCCAAATCCTATGTTCTCACTGCACGAGCATCCCCTTGCAGTTGCCAGCAGCAAACGAATATGCCAGTACTAGTAGGGGATATTGCAAACCTTCACCAAATAAACCAGCACGGAGCCAAGCAGAATCTCCTACATCTGTATACAGCGGTGGGCATCCTCTTCCTCTTGTGATGCGTATCATGAAATCTCATACCCGGCCACAGCCTTGGCCACCATGACCACCACGAACTCCCCCTCCTTAATGCCAATGTCCTGTCTCTTTATTGGCCGCATCAAAGGGCCAATTGTTCTTTCCAAGCGAAAATCCCAAGTTCAACTTGACTCCAGTCTTGCACTTTTCCAACTCTCAGCACTCGGCAGAAGGCTGCTTGCAATCCGACATTGTCTCTCCTTCACGTGTGTCTCGTCGACCAAAATCTTGCCCTGGTGAATAAGCTTTTGCTGCTCCGCCAGCATCCTGGGACATGTGGCCAAAATTTGCGCTAAAAGCACCGCCAGAAGCCCGAGCAAAGTCTGATCGGATTGAAGTTCATTTGAGGACTTGTGCACGCGAGCAACCTCGCCTTGCCGGATCGTCTTGCTGAATCACTGCAAAGCACCCCCAGTTCAATGCGACTGCCTGTCTCCTTTCCTGAGGGACGAGCTCTGGGAACTTCTCGCAGATTGACTTCTTCAGATCAGCCACCGTCGCCTTCACACTGCACCAGAATTTCCAAGGGGTGATACCAGTCATGAGCCTTGACTAGCTTCTTGGCTTTCGGGGCTACAAAGAGACTCAACAACACTTTGCCGATCAAGAACCATTGGCACGGCTTCGCGAAAGGACTAAGTCATGTTCACGCACCTCATCTGACACCTCCACCGTGAAGGTGTCACCCTTCAGAGGTCGGCAGGTGACCTGTGCCGGGCGTGTCTAATCATCCAAGATGCGTGTCCCAGTTGAGTCATGTCCGTACAGTTGACACGAAGCGGATGCCGTGCAAAGATGCAAAAGCGTGATGTTTCCGTGCCGTTTACCAAACTCATTTGCACAGGCACCGGCCTTTTGGGACATGGCAGCCTGGACTCAACCCAACCACCTGCGAAAAGGCGCGACATCTGGAATGCATACAGCATACATGTCAATACCTGCGAAGGCCATCACAAACATGACCTGAACTCACTGTCTCCATCCCCCATATCTCCGATCTCATCGTTCTCCTATTCCTCCGCGACCGCTGTTCCTCCTGTTCGTCCTCCTCTTCCTCTCAGTCTCCACGACAGCATCATCAGCAGCCGCTGCATCACTATCAACTATCAACATCATCACAGCTATCGCCACCTTCATCAAACACCACAATCACATCATTACCATAAGGGTCGTCATCATCCCGTGTCATCGAAATCGCCATCTTCATCCACTCAACATTCGGGGCGGCCGGAGCACAGGATCAAATGAGCACAGCACCCGTCCCACGATAGCAAACTTGGAGTCCATGCTACCCGAGGCTGCCCGGAGGGGTTCATGAAGTGCAGTACTGCCAGAAGGGAAACCGAAGACTGGCGACAGTTGGGAAAAAGATGCTGACGAGATGCGGAGGCGATGCCCGCGTTGCGCAGGAGATGCCCACGTTGCGGCCACCCCGTCCCTTTTAAAGGGTCTGCGTGGACGGAGCTCGGTTGCAGGCTTCCAGAACTTTGCGCCACTAGGATGGTGTTCGCCACGAAGCTGAGCTGGTGCGTGCAGCAATCAAGCCTTTTTGGTTCCTCAAACTCCTACCACAATCAATGATTTCATGGTCATCCAAGTGTCAGCTCTGCGCTGAGCCTTTACTACGGATTTGTGTTCAGGACTGCGGCTGTAGAACCTGGATTGCCAACGGGAGCCCATAACTCTTGCTACCTGCATCATGCTGGACGTGAGCAGTGTGGGCTGCCGGTTGCAATGTAACCGACAGCTCAGAGGACGCTCGATTTCAGCTTGAAGCCCACGGCCTCATGCCAGGCAAACTTGACTGCCAGGGCCACTACTCACTGCTCCGGATGTCTCTCCAAGGTCTGAGCACTGCACGGCGCGCTGGCCTTTCGTATTTAAAAGGCGAGAGGTCTCTGCAGCCTGCACAAGCTCTGGAAAGGCTGCTTTGAGGGCCTCAAGTGGGGAGGCAGACTTCTTCTTGCGGCCTGAAGTCTGCTGCATGCGTCGCGACTCGAGGCCTTCTTCTGCTCCTCCTGGGCCTTGTGTTGGCGCTCTTTCCGCTGGGTCTCTTGACGTTGCTCCAGCTCCTGCATCACATTTCAGAGAACACACGGTGTGCTGACGTGGTTAAAACGTGATTTTCACCATTGTAGAAGTTGCAAACTCAGGATCCCCAAAGTTCAAGCTGTGCAGTGTCGAGAAGCCTGGGCTTCACTCGCCATGCCTGCCGTCTTAGGCGTTGCACTGCCCTCTGCAGAGCCGTTCCCAGTCGCATAGCCACAACTGCAGGAAACCACTCCATAACCCGGTATCACAAACGAATTGCAACCCAAAACAAGTCGCTGCCCTCCATGCCTTAGTTGTCGTCGTCGTCCTCGTCACCATCATCGCCTACGTCGCCATCGCCGTTTTTATCATCCATGCATCCAGCCATCCGTCCATCTTCGACACCATCGCCATCACGATCACTCGCAATATGCAAAACTCTGCTAGGAAAGCACGAAGACGAAGACGCCCGGGCTTTCTTCTTCCGGCCTTGAGCCGCTCCTCGTCAACTTTAGCCTTCTGCTCCAACCTGGGAACATCGAACGACTCTCCGAGCCCCTCCCCATCTACCATTCAGCATCATGGAGTGAAGAAGACCAGCTGTCTCAAGACATGCCATTTCAGAAGTACTGTACAGACTGTACAACCAATGCTCTTGAGTTGATGATCGCCATCCCCACTGAGGCGGACGCAGCTTTCGCTGCTCGAGCTCCTTCAGCTCCTCCTGCGTGGAATCTCAGAGCCTCCTCGGAGACGCGAGCCTAGCGAGGCCTGGTGGCCTGGCCTCCTTCTTCCGCTCTTCCGCAAGCGCCTTCTCCTGCCGCGACACCCGCCGGATCTCGTGAAACGGAGCTACTTGTGTCTCTGCCATTCTCCGCCTTCTCTTCTTCGTCCTGCTTCTTGTGAGCCATTTCCTGACCAGCACAGTGGACGTCACGGGCCTGAACGTATGCCGGCACGTGGAAGGCATTACGCATGGCATGGAGCCTCCAGAATTTGTGCTTTCGTCTCCTCCACCTGTTGCAGGAGAAGTCTGTAGAAAAAACGCGTAGCAGCAAATGAAACACAACGAGAGAGAGACTGCCTTTTCACAACATGAGAGCAAATAGCGACCAGTGATGATGCTGCAAATCGTTCTGCGGTGGGCGTGATCACTGCGCCCTACACCGACGGCACCTCTTTCAGCATGATCGCTTCGAAGCGGGTCTTTTCCTCCGCTGTAAACGATGCCAGCCGGCCGGAGTTTTCACAAGGGTACACATGACAGACTCCCGACCGCACCGGCAAATTGGGCGCCTCCTCCACTTTCACCTTCACCTCGTTGGTTTCTGCTGTGCTGCTACACTGTCTTATATTTCTCGGCACTCTTCCTTTGTGCGCTATGCTCTGCTACCACTGGCGTCAAGTTGACTTCGCGATAATATACCTGAATACACACTTATGTCAGCAAACGCGAGCACAACGGAACCCTAGGATAACCACACGCACACTTCCCTTTTCTTCTTCGTGCTGGAGGTGGCAATCCGAGAGGGCCCCCCCGAGCAATTCGGGGCCAAAGGCTCCCAAAGCCTGTGACTATAGGGCCCCTCCGCAATAATCCAAACGAACACTGGTGTGGCACTGATGTGCCTGGCGAGAAAAGTCCCACATCTCGTTCGAGCGAATGGGGGAACTCTCGGCCTCACCGTGCAGGTGCGGGAGTGTCGCAAACTAGACGGAATCAGATTCCAGCACGAGGTGCAAAAGGTGAAAGTGAAAGCCGGGTGACACGAAGCCGGCGCTCCGGATTGCAGCCTTGGTAGTCGGGGTGCGTAAGCTCGTCCGCCCCCACTGGTTGAAGCGCGACCGCGCTTCACGTGGGAGGGAGCCATCCCTTGCGGTGAAGACGAGGCATTAGTTCCATCAGGACTGCCGCCGACGGCATCTTCCTGGACTTGCTGTTAATAGGAGGGAGTAAATGCTCCTTTGTTTGTCAAAGAGCAGGGGAATGATAGGAAAGCGCTGCTCCGGTCCTGGTCATTATTCTTGATGAAGAAGGAGGTCACGACTAAGGACCTTAGCATCTCCAAGGCCGCGATGAGTCGTTTCGGCCCACCCTGGACGAAGGCCCATAGCATCCTTCGGTGCACACCTTGGAATCGGAGGCGGATCAGAGAACGCAAGGCCGGCGCTGTGCTATGAGATCTTCTATTGAGGGGTAGAGGTGCTTGATCGCAGATGCACGATTGGCCAGGATCACATCCCAGTAGGCTGGGCAGATCTTTGCTGCTCTCAAGCACTGAAAGGGTATGCAAAGTGCCTCAGGCTCAAGAAGAGCACAGGAGCTGCAGTTCGGCCCTGGATCTTGAGGAGACCATCCGAACCCTTTTCCGTGCTGCATAGGGTCGGGGCCTGCTTGGAGGACGCCGCCTGTGCAACGAAACCAGCCAAGGGGCGGCTCGGGGCCAAGGCCACCCCACCAGCATCTTGGGGTGGCGTCGTCGAGGAAGCAGCCGCCGCCAAAGACGCCACACCTGCCCCTGAAATCGTCACCGCTGCTGCCATGGGCGTGGACGCGGTATCCTCATCTTAATTCAGGTTGAGGCGGGTCTTTTGCATCTCCTCCTGCTTGGCAAAAACATTGTCCCTGGTGATGTTCTCGACGACCTCCGCCTCCCCGTCATCAGGATCGGCTGTCAAAGCCGCCAAGAGCCTGGCACCATCGATCTCCCGCAGCTGCTGACATAATAAGGCATTGCACTGCACTCACTGGTTCAACTAGCCATATTGGATTACGAGTAGCATGCACGAATACGACTCTCAAGAAACGTGCCACGATAAATGTGGGCAGCAGGGCTAACAGCGTGTGTTTTGGCAGGTTTCATCCCCGTGCCAGCCCACAACTCCGACTCTTGTCCAAATGTCCGGGATCCGGACGAGCTCCCGGTGTTCGATGCTCGCCAAGCGAAGTTCGAAGACCCGCTGCAGCTCTGCATCGTAGCGACGGGCAACCTCTCAAGCAAGAGCACGGGCACGGGACAGCGCGTGCGAACCGGCTCTGGGTTTCGAAACCCTCGCTTGTGCTTCTGTGCGGGTATTCTCACTCGTGGCACAACGGCTCGGTAGCTGCGGCAATTTCACATGGGCAACATCAGGATTCAGGACGTCAGGAGCACACTCCCAGCAAGCAGGGACGTGAAGCTAAGCCCAACGTGATGAGAAAAGGGCTACTTGAGCTTGAGTCTACCTGTACGATAGCGGGGGAGGCTGCTGAACAGGCAGGCTTTTGGCCTGGCGAACCCTCCTTCTAGGGCCATGGTGTCATGTGCTCTAAGTGCTCTACTCCTAGCAAAGTACTGTGGCTGACGAGGGCCGTTCCTAATCAACGGAAGTTTGTCGGGATTGCGAGCTGAAGATACAGCTGGCAAAGGATGGTGCCCACAGCTCTGCTATGCCTGAACCTCCACATTGTAACAAGGGAGCTTTCCAGCTACATGGTGGCATATTCGCAAAGCAATGGAAATCACCGGCTGAATCAACCGCCTTCAACTAGGTCCTTTCCGCCTCCTCTTCTATCAGCTTCTCCTCTTTCTGGGCCTGCACAGGAGTAACTGGAGGCTCCAGCGGCCAAGCCACGAAACAAAGCTCAACCGTCGCATAACACCTGCAACTTTCGCGCTTCTTCCAGAGCTGGATCCTGCAGGCAAAACTCTGCTCCCAGAGCTGGACTGCTTGTCCCATGTCTCTCGAGTCTGATGCACTGCGCCCTGCTCATGACAATGACGCTTTCCTCTGTCTGTCTGACAGGTGCATCTGGGTCTGCCTCCTTCTTCACCTCCACAACGCTGGAGGAATCTTGGCAACTCCTCGCAAAAAAGCAGCACATCGCTTCTGCGGTTTACCTCTAGCACAGGAAGCCAGTGGAGGCTTTCGTAGCCTAGTCTGCACACCCTCCACAAGGTGATGCGCCTGTCACTGGAGGAAGTCGACCTGTTGCAACAGAGCCGTTCTGCGTGGGGTGTCAGGGAGTACTCAATGACTCAACTTGTTCACGATGCGGACCTAGGTACAACACTGATTCGAGAACCGGTAAAACCTAGGTGCTCACCGGAAGGTCGGTATTCGTGCACTGGAACAAAAAGAGTCGCTCACCCGGCGGGGAATCGCGCACTGGGTCCCCTCGGAAGATACTGCAGAGATTCCTGTGCTGACAGCGCCAGATTTGGGCACCGGGCTCAGGACTAGGATGTCTTGTAACAAAGCTCAAAGGCAAAATAGAAACCTATGACCTTCAACTGAGCAGCAACATCACCGTAGACTGGGCTCACAAAGCCCATCTAAACCCTCCCACCTGTGCAGCCCGATATCACTCTGAAACCAGGAGCTTCGAGGTGTTCCATCTGTTTCCTGGATTGGCGTTTTCAGCAAACCACACCTGCTGTTGAGATTCAGAGCATCTAAGCAACCCTAAAACCCTACAACCCGAAAGGTACCACGTCGAGTGCTTGATTCATCTGGTGTTCGAATCACCGGTGCTTGAACCGCTGTGCTCGAATGGGGCCTGTGCTCGTGCGTTTGCGTGCGGACTTGCTGCTCGAGTCCAAGGTGAGCCGCTGCTCAGCTGTTTGGCTGCATGACGTGACGCGAGCATGTGATTCTGTCGCCCTTTGCACATCAGGAAGCCCATCAGAATGGACAAGCACAGCCTCATCCACCGTGCACACACCAGCCACCCGACGTGATTTCACGGATGATCAGATCCGCAGCAAACTACATGCCCAACAGGTCACTGCGGTGGTACATTCCTGGCGGTGCAACTCCCACGGAGCGTCTCCGGTCTGGTAAAACAAGTGAGGCCAGTCTCGAACACTCTCCGTCCCCCCAAATTGGCCCGACCCTCAGACTGAATCCCCGTTGGCCCAGCCCGTTTGCCCCTCCCCGCCCTCAAAAACGAAAAAAAGACGGTGCATTCTGGAGCTCGGACTGGAACTGAAATGAACTGAATCTCACCAGCGCGCCGCCCCCGGATTCCCATCATCGAAACCCCTCCACACAACACGACCGACCCCGTGTATGCTCCCTGCGAAAACCCGCAACCGCGGCAGCCCCCGACGCACTTCCTACACCCACAGGTGCAGCTCCTCTATGCGACATAAAATTAACTAAGGAGAGGCTGAAAGCAGCCACTGCATTTACATCAGCACAGCAGGAAAGCCCGTGAAGGCCTATGTTTCTTCTTTCGACGCTTTGCCTATCAGGGCCGTGAGCGTGGAGCGCAAAGGCAAAGGGCGGTGCAGTGCACACACTAGGCCAAAGCAGCTGCCTTGGCTTTGTCACGATCTCGGGACCTGGCACAAGCTGTGAAAAGCAAGGACCAGCCGCAGAGTGCAGACAGTCATCTTGAAGCTTGGCGATCAGATGGGCCCTAACCTAAGATGGAAAAGCTGACCAAACCTGACGCAAAGCCTTGCTGCAATTGTGGCCTCAATCGTCTAAATGGAGATGCTGTGGAATTGGAGCACGGGTTCTATTCGAGCCGACCAGCCCTTGCCCTAACAGAGAGCGTGAGGAGTCCTCGACTTTCGCTTCCCGGGAGATGAGGACGACCTGTGACCGCAATCATACTAACACCCTGCTGCAAGCGCGATTTCACTATGCAACGTAGTCCACGTGTCGAGTGCTAGAAGCGTAATATTACGTTTTTTGCTTCTAAATCCTTGGTGCCTCGACCGGACCTTCACGGCTTTCCGGGCCATCTGCCACACGGCCTGTCCATCAGAAGAGGAACACCGGAAGTGCATAAACCGCAGGAGAGGGAAGCCATCCAGCGGATTCGGGCTAGGGTTACGGCGAGGGGGCGATCAGAATCATGGAACTGCCGACTCGGTCGACTGCCAACTCCACCCGCTGCACCCATCAAGGAGATTCTTTCACGTGGGGAACATCGGCAGAGCGCCCGCCAAGTCGAAAAGGACCACTTTGAGGACTGTGCCAAACACGCGTCTCCCAGTAGCCATCAAGGTGGAACTGGATCGGCACAGAACACAATGGACGCATAGAGCTTCGGGGCGTAGGAAGATTCACATGAGACTGGGACAGGCTTTCGTGCAGCAGACACAATGCTGAAGTTCAGCCGAAGTCAAAAACGCTTATCTTTCCATCTCTCCTTTTCCTTTCCCTTGTGCTCTCCCTGGCACTCTCTCGCCCTCTTTACCCTCCATTTTTGGCGGTTCTGCAGTCTCTCTTTCTTTTCTGCACGTTTCTGCAGTCTCTCTCTCTCTCTCTCTACCAGGCAAGAGGGGAAGCACGGTCCAGTGCAACCCCCCGCGCGCGAACGCGCCCCTGCGGTTCAAGGTACGCGTGGCTCCCCCGACAGGATATTTCCATAGGGGGCTTGGCTGTAAGAAAAGGTCGTTGAATGGAGTCCCCCCTGTTGGTACAACAAACAACAACGAAACCAAAACACAAGCCTCAATACGCATTGCTAAAGCGAGGGCCAGGCGTACAACAGGAAGGACTCCAAGGTCGGGGTTTCCAGGCAAAAACATGCTGATCTCCCCCTCTACGTATGAGCGGGTTGCTGAATGTTTTCACGGATTGGGCGGAATTAATTTGGGCTTTGAGAAGTTCCCTCCTAATTCATGTCAACGAAGTATGGACAGTGAGGCTTCGAGGTGAGCTAAAAAGAAGCAAGGATTGTGGGCGTTCGGCCCGTTTTACATGGGTTGATCGGAGAGGGCTGTTAAGCCTGCAAAAAGTTCACACCTGTACACCTGATCCTCCTTCAGAAGACGACCACGGGCTTTTTCACAGCGGTTGCGAAGTGCTTGTCACGACAAAATTGCACTGGGAGTCACGAACTTGACCGCGATGGCCTCCCCCGCCCAGTGAACTGGTTCGTAGTGATCGGCTTGGTCTCTCTCTGTCTCTTGTTTGCTTGCTTGCCGTGAGGCAAGGAGGGCCAAATGTCCTGTCCCTCTCTCTGTTCAGGAAAGGCCTCGTGGAAACTGTCAAAGTTCGAGGTCGCAGATCCGGATGGCCCATCATCCGGCAGGCTCCTGATGTGGGCCGGATCAATGGGTCGCCACGCGCCTCAGGGAGGCACAATGCTTGTCGGATCCAGTGGAAGCTGCGAAACATGAAAGACACCAAATCTACTTGCAGAGGCCAATTCCAGTCGAGAAGCCGGTGATGTCCACCTCACGCAGCGTCGGAAGTGTACAAATTTCCCTGGCAAGCGCCTCTGCACTTGGCACAGCTCCGCACCGATGTAACGATACCAACGAGTCCGCATGCATCACGGAAATTGACAGCAAACGCCCCGCCAAGCAGTAGTCAACGGATGCTGTATGCCCGCACATGGGATGCGCATGATGTGCTCATGTACAGCAGTCAGGCACAGGACCTGCCAAATGAAACGGGGCTTGACTTCACAGAAAGCCCGCTGGAAAGCATAAAATCGAGATCGAGTGACGTGTACAATATGTTGCCTTCGCATTTAGGTGAACCTGCTGAACTCCGGCCCACGAAGCCACCTCCCAGCACGCAGTTTGGGAAGAGACCGCTTCAGCCACCAAGCTTCTTGCACGGCATTCAATGAGCCTGCAAGCTCTGACAAAGCGCATTAAAGCGCAATCATGAATGTGTTGTCCTGCTTTGCAGAACAATGCAAAACGCCAAGATCCTGGAGAGGCCCGTACATACAGGAAGACTTCGGAAAATTGGCCGGCCCATCCCTACGCCTAAGGGTGCTCCAACCCTGAACACGCACTGCAACCGCCTGATCTTCACAGTCCAAGTAGCGTTGCGTGGGGAATTTGAAGAGCACGAACGGCCGGCAAAGCCGCAGATGAGCCTTCTGCAAAGGCAGCAGGGCTGCCACCTGCTGACAGTCTGGCATTGCAGACTGAGAGCGAGAGAAATCCCCTATGGCCTGGTATGCACACCACTAAGTGCGGCAACTGCAGTGTCTGCAGCTGCCCTGTCACTTGACGGAGGACGGTCCAAAAGCCACAGGAATCTGGAATTTGGCCTCCTGCGGAAATCACGAAGCTCTTTCAACAACATATGTCTTCGTTTCAGCTGCTTGCCGAAGCCTTTCCTGCGTTGATCAGAAAGTGGCCCAGGCATAACTCCTGGGCAAATGTCCGACTGTTGTGGCCGGACAGAACCGCCACGAAAGCAACTTCTTGCCGGTAGCAGCGCGGAAAAGTACAGTTCTGCTGCACTGCGTGCATGCACGTGATGTTGACAGCAAGATCCCGTCGGACGACAAGCGATCACCTGGAATTTGACACCCATGCGCACGAACTTGGTCTTCGTGCGTGAGCCTGTTTCAAAGGTTCAGACCTCATGTAGCTTTGGTTCCTGCCCTTCCCGCCCTTGTCCCGCGGCTCCCTGAGTGGCCTGATGGTTGGCCTTCACGCTTTTGGTTGCTGCCCCACACAATGCACACGAACCGCTTTGCATGGCACCCTGCATCTGTGGTTCTGTTTAAACCACCTGTACAGTTCCTGCCCATGCGTCGGCCTACGCCATGCCTAGTCCTAGCCGTCCGAGCCCTGTGCGTACCCAAAAACAGTGTCCTGCAGGCATGTTCCACCACAAGCAGCTAGCGGCTCCAACAAGAGGTTCCAAGACATGCCACCGAAGGCCTCGACAAGAAACTACCATCCGAAAGCCGGACCACGGTGAAGAAGCCTTCGCTCTTGATGGAGCAGCGCCTCTGCATGGCTCACCTCCAGGCGCCGCAGGCGAATCGTTGCAGGGCTTTGCACTCGTCTGCGTGGCAACTTCTGCAGTCGTGCCAAGTGCCTGCGACCAAAAGCAACCGTTGTCCGGTGCAGTTTATGACAGGAGAGAAACACACCCTCAGCGACGATGAAAATGCTGCCCCCACCACACGCCTGATTTGCACATTTCGCCAGGGCCAGGTGCCACAGAAAGTTGCGGTGCAGAGGGCGGATGCCTGCAACACAAAGCCGGCTTCGTCATTGCCTACAAGCAGGGCTGCTGTGTCAAGAAAGCCTCTGCACAGTTGAGGGCATCCAGTGTCTCCGGCATGAGCAGCTGTGGTTGAATTACCATGGCGAACCCCAGGCTAATAGCCGAGAGCTGCACAGCATGATCGATCAACTGAAAAGGGTCCCTGCCGCAGATCCTCTCAAGCTGTATGCTGTTGAGGTCATCGACTCTCTCGGAATGGATGTCACATTCAATGTTGCCGGGCATAAGTCCAGCGCTTGTCTTCCAGATTACAGCAGCCCTCATGGATTCGATGACCTGTGGCAGCAGTCTGCCATGAAAGCAACCTTGAAGCTCTCTATCGCAGCATCTTCAATGCTTCAGGCCTGCACGCTTTTGTGCCAATGATAACCCTTTGCAGGCATTTGCAAGCAGTGTCCCTCGAATACAAGCCTTCGATGCTCGGCTCTATGTTGGCTTCGTGGCATCACTTCTGAGGATCCCCCCTTACTCGACTAAGGTCTTTGATATTTGGATACACACGGGGTTCCTCTGCGAATGTCCCCACTTTGCAATAGCTTTTAATCCTGCCTAGGATCGTCATGATGAGCTTGGATGCTTCCACTGTAACCTCGGCACTCATTCTAGCAGACCTCCAGCAATGTTGTCCAAGTTTGGATTTTGGAACTCAGACCGCACTGAGTCTAGCCTCTGACTGTAAGTGGCCAGCCTGCTGGGGTACACCGTCTACTCCCACGAGGCTTGTGGCCAGACCTGCTTGGAGTGCGAAGGGTAACCATGGTCGAGACTGTCGACTCAGAGGCTGTGGCCGAGGGTCTCTTCGTGAGTTAGAAGGCAGGCCTGCCAGGCAAAGAATGCTCCTTACTGCTCTCACAGGACGGGACGGAACAAAAGCTCCGGCGTGCCAGGTCCCGCGAGCTGGCCAGCTGCACCAGCTTGGCCAGAAGCTGCCATGTGGTAACGTGGACAGGGAATCAACTTTCGACTGCACGCCCATCAATTTTGAGCACCGCAAACATCAAACTTGGTAGCAGCGCTTCTGATGCAAGTCCAGCCGTGTCTGCACTCAGCCTCGAGCCCACAACTTTTGCAACACATGCAGAAGATGCGATCCACAGCTCAAAAGCTGAAGCCCACGCTCGAGCTGGCCAAGTTCTTCTCTGAGCTGTACTGCTAAGAGAAACCTTGCTGGAAATCAGCCCACGGCTTAAGTGGCAACACATGCCTCAACGAGTCACGACTCGGAGTTCAGCGGCTGAATATGCTCGTGGCAGGCGTTGATGTCATCTGCTGTTTCATCCTTGGCTTTATTGAAATTAGTGTAGCTAGCATGAAGCCCAGCAGCTAGCATAGGCATTTGCAACAGCAATGGTCTGTCTTCCGCTCACACATCATGAGTCATGCTCTTACGAGTATCAGACCGGGTTTTCCGAATGATATCCCGGGACCGGTGACAAAAACAGCACCCCGTGGGTCGCGTGCAGCAAAAAGCGTCTCCACCTCGTGCTGGCTGAAGCCGAGACCTGTGCTTTGATCAAAGAGACAGCAGCCAGCGGCGAATCACCGACGACAAATCCGCTATGCAGAGTTCTCTTCGACAGACAACCGCGGGTGCAGTCTGCGCCTGGAAGGCCAACAGGCTCACTTGTGTCTGTCCGGAGCTGGAGCCAGCGGGCCACCTGGAAACTGCGCTTTCTCAAGCACACCGAAGACTGGTGGCACACCCCTCAGGCTTTGCATAGTCTGAGTTTGGCAAAGCAGTTATTAACGACATCTGAGCGAGTTTCCCTCCCCGGTATCTGACAGTTCCACCCGGCTCGGCTGTGAGGACAGCCTCAGATGTGCAAAGTTGCAGGCTCTTGCCCACCGGACAAACCGTTCGATCAACAGGTCACCTGGCATCCTCTACCTACAGGAATTGCCGGGAAGCAGGTAGCGGTGCAGGTCGCGAGATTGCAGTTGCACAACAGCTTCTTGCCATCGCCTGCCACGAGACAAAGCATGACTTCCACGAGGCCCATGCCTCAAAACAAAGCTTTGACTGGAGCTACCAGGCCAACCTAGTGACACGGACACGGTTTCAGCTCTTTCAATAGTCCCCCAACTGAAGCCATTGTGTGTGTGTCAGGCAGACTGAACCCTCATACAGTGAGCGGAGAAGGCAGTTGGCATGTCGGCTTGAAGGCTGGCGGAGCACTTGACTGCATGTAGCCAGACTTCTCGAAGCTCCGACTCCACTTTGACCTGGCTGATCACTCTCTCAAAAAAAAACCCTTGTCAACTCTTGGCACTACGCTCCCCTCTGTTTGGGAACTCAGCAAGGCAGGCCACGCTTTCTGCAAACCATTTGACATCTTCCAGCTCCGCTACAGACAACCTCGGCGAAGCCGCAGCTTGCAGTCTCATTAATTCTGTTGCAGTACTGCAAAGAGGAAACAGATTTGTTCTCGGACCCCGGGCGCTTCCAGCCAACCGGTGAGGTCTTGCCTTGCAGCAGGACTCAGTCTGCCTCGCTTTGTTGCAAATATTGCTCCCGCTTCCCGTGTTGCTGTTTCTGAGCCCAGTGCGGACTGACTTTGCAATCACGCGAAATCTTGTGCGGGAGCAATGCCTGCTTCGTTTATGCACCGCTAGTTGCTCATCCTAAAGCTGCAGTTTGGCCTCCGGGATGGGCATTGGACCCTTGGCGTCAGCCTCAGGCAGTGAAGACATAGCGACAAAAACGAGGTCTTAAGACAAGGCATGAGCGGCATGAACTGATTCCAAAAGAAGCCATGCCTGCATGGCATCCAGAATATGAGCAAGCTCGACCTGCACAACAGGGCTGCTCCTAGTCAACAGGTTTTTGCGGCAAACATGCCGCATGCTATTCAACACTTGACTCAACCATCCCATCACGCGACCTTGCTGACAAAGCCGCGTTGCTTTGAATCTAAGATGCGAAAAACCTCAGCTGCAAGTTCTGTTGTGCTCAAAACCAAGCTGACACTGGGCTGAACATTGCTCTGAAAAAACAGACTTGTAAGTCCATCGCCTCTTCCAGCAAAACGGCCCTTCGTGTCGGGCGACTTTCGTCTGCCATCTGGACCTCATAGGGCAGAAACCGACATGACATCGAAAGGAAGCGCCCATTGTCTGTTGCTGTGACAGATCAATCTTGCAAAATGTATATGATGTGGCGGTCAGTCCAAATTGGCCGGGTGGCACACAGAACTGCGGCTGTTTTGTTTCCTCGAACTCAACAGCATCCATCACCGACACGCGTGTTGGGGCGATGCTACATGCTTTGGTTGTTAAGCCAATGCTTGAAACTGTAGCAAACTCAAGTTAATCATGCAACATTCGTAGCTTTATCGCGTGCAACAAGTTTGCTTGGAGCTGCATCTCGCAACATATGAAGCCTGCACCTCAAGAACTCTGTATCTGAACACTGCACACAAGGGCTCCGTGCAACAACATGCAAACATCACGAATTTGTACAAACGATGTCGATGAATTGCATTTCTGCGCAAGATCTCCCTGCGCGACAATGCCAACTCTGAGAATGACAGCTTCGCATTTCGAAAACGTGTTGCCCATGTTTACAATGTTCCAAAACCGCAAAGTCAAAAATCATCCGGGGTTTGATCAAACACGTGACAGACTGTCTGCCGGGGCTTGAATGAGGACCATCGATTCATTAAAGCCAAAGCAAATATGATTGAAGGCACATGCTCTTCCAAGAACTTGTCGAACGGACACAAATCGTTGCAACGTTCGCGTCCAAAGATTCGAGCTTTTGGCGTTTCTTCTTTTGCGGAAATGTGGCTTTGAACTACTGTAGAGGCCCTTTGTCCGCGGCAACGTTTTCGAGCACTTTTCAACCCCCCAAAACCGCCCCTGCATTTGGGTGGTTGTTGCCACCTTTAGCTGATCCACATCTCAAACTTTTCGAAATTGGCAAGCTGTTCCTAAACTCAGGAACTCTCAAAAGAAACAAGAGAAAGGAACATCAGTAACTTGTTAACTTGAAGGCTTTTGAGAAGGATTATTCTATTGATTGTAATAGTTCGGGAAAGGATTGAAGGGGCAGAAGTTGCTTGAATCATAATGGGCTGTGTGCAGCACACACGGTCGAGCGGACTTTTTGTTGACAAGTGCTGCGTGCTGCGAAGCGAGCCGGCGAGCACCTGGGCCGCGCAATACAAGTATCAAACTACTTTAATACAGACCTGCACAATGCAATTCTCACGAGCAAACCCATGCCAGCAATTTTCCGTCGGTGCAACAAGTTTGTTGCGGCCGCCATTCCTGCTGACCCCCACACTCCTGCATTATGGTGTTCCTTACTGCATTTTTAAGAGTAGGGCAGGGCTGGATTAAGACTTGTGGGCGTCTGCAAAGAATCATGGCCTCTGTGCAAAAGCTGGCGCCGTAGCGGCCATCTGAAAATTGCAGCCTGTGGCACTGCAAGCTGCCGTCAGCAAGACCGTCGAGGTCGCCGAGAAAACTTTAAACAGCCAGGGGAGAAAACGAGTCCACATCAGCTCTGCGAAGATGCATTCGGAGTTCGTGCTTCGGAAGAGCAACCCTTA